TGCAGGGGGGAGGAGAGGGGTCTGCTGGGTGCAGGGGCACGGCCAGCCCGGCTGGTGGTGGCACCGGGTGGGCACCGGGGTGGAAGGAACCTACCGATGAGGATGAAGCCGATGGCGATGACGTAGGTGAGCATGTAGCCACGGATGGGCTCACTGTTCTTCCCGTAGCCCTTCCCAAAGAAGCCTATGAGAGGGTAGAGCTGGTCCCTGCAGAGACACTGCGGGGAGAGACGCGTTGGGGACAGCAGGCTTCACTGGGGACATGGGGTGGCAGCCCTCTGGTGGCTCTTGCACCCGTAAGAGCATGGGCCAAACTGGCCTCATGCCTTCGCTGATGGCAGCGTCCTCCTCACCCTGGGGCTGCTCGTGGCCACAAAGCCCCACAGTGCTGAGAGTGCCCAGGAGCATCACCCGCTGCTGGGCTCAGGGACAGGAGCTGGGGGACATGGACACCCTCCTTCCCCCCTCACCTGGAAGACTTTGGGGGCTGAGACGAGACAGGCCAGTGCTGAGGAGAGGGTGGCACCAAAGATCCCTGCCGTGATGAGGGGGCCGAATCCTGACACCATGCTCATGCTCTGCCCAAAAAACAGGCAGTCAGGAACCTGGCACCTCCAGTGCATCAACCTCCACCCCTGTCCCAAGGGATTTCCAGCCCTGTGTCACCCTGTGCTTTTCCATCATCATCCAGGCAGCAAAGCCCAGAAAGCCCGAGGAAGACAGTCTCCTGTTATATGGGTGGTTTAACAGCACAGTTGTCTCCTGAGAGCATGAGGATGCATCAGGAAACCCCATTCTTTGGAGCACCAGGGGACTGGGGTGGCCCCCGAGCAGCACCTGGTAGTAGTTGCTGAGCCCGTAGCGGCAGCTCTGCCGCTGGGCACAGGCGGTGAAGTTCCAGCCGAAGTCACAGGCCAGTCCCTCGCAGCCTGGTGAGCCCACAGCCACGCTGTCATTGAGGCTGCCCGAGGCATCCCTGACCACACAGGCACCTGGGGGGGACACGCAGTACCCACTCACCTCCCACAGCCCTGCTACCCCCACACAACCTACCCCGACGTCCCCCAGCTCCCCAGAGGGACGTGCCACTTACCGATGGTCGCGGAAAGCACCAGGTAAGACACGGTGGTCCAGAAGATGGCCATCAAGGTGCCCTTGGGGATGGCCACGGCAGGATCCTGCCCAAGGGAGGTGCAGGGAGATGTAAGGCAGCTTGTCCAGCAGCACCACTAAAATGTCATTTTACTGGTGGCTGCTGCACAAGAGGAATTTTAATTTGCTGTGACATGAAGCCTCAGAGCATCTCCCAGCTGAGCCTTCCCAAAAGTCTCCAGAAGAAATTGTGGGGTTTAAAAGTTGGATCAAAACCAAAGCCTTGGGGGAAATGGGACTTGAGCCCCGATGGACACCAGCTCAGGCAGCAATGCTCAAAACTCACCTTCAGGTCACCTGAAATGTTGGCCCCAGCCAGGATGCCAGTTGCTGAGGGAAAGAAAATGGAGAACAAGCCGAAGAAGGAGCCTTCAGGTCCACGCCAGTTGGGCACGAAGTTCTGGGCAAAGATGTCAGCTGGGGAGGAAACAGAGGAGAAGCATTTAGGGCCTCCCAAGCACCTTTCTTGGCCAAAGCATCTCAGTGCTGGATGGAGACATGGTACTGCTGATGAATAACCCATGGGAGGAAGGCACCATGCTTGTAATGACATCCAAGCGAGGAGCACCTTCCCATAGCAAACTTTTCCTCCAACAACAGCAAATAGATGGGCTCCAGTAATGAACCTGGACTTGAGCATAACCCAAACCCATGGTGGACCCACCTCGGTAGCTGAAGAAGCCCTTTGCTTGCTTCTCAGCAGTGGCTGGGATCACTGTGCCCACCAGGTAGTTTATGAAGGAAACCAAGATGACAAGGAAGAACAGTATCTGTGCCTGCCAGACCAGAAAGTACCAGCTGAGAGGTTGGGGTTTGGGTGCCAAGAGGGTGAAAAACTCATTAGGAGAAACCCTTGTCTCTTTCTGGGGAGCTCCTCAGATGCCTGGTGGGCAGCAGGGACAGCTCTTAGCATCCCAAAGGAACGAGGTGGGCAGAAGCAGGGAGTGTTACCTTGGCCTCCCACTCCATGCCAGCCAGGGAGATGCCCAGCAGCACCGTCACCGTGACCACCCCGATGATGCGGATGTCATTGGTGGGGTCCACAATGAGGGAGTTGTGCTCCTGGGGAGGAGAAACCATCCAGAACATGGAAATAACCCTTCCCTTTACCAAACCACTGGGATTGCCATGAGTTTTAGCAGCCACCAGTTGACCATCAGCAGTACAACGTTAGCACAAACACTGCTAATTGATGCAGGTTCTTCAGGAAGGAGATGAGGATGGAGAAGCAGAATGGACAGGACCCAGAGGACACATGGAGCCACTTTCTTACCTGCAGCAGGTCCCGGACAGTTTCAGCAAAGCCCACTGTGTGCATGGCCACGGCAACCGCGTTGGCAAAGGCAAAGATCAGCCCGATGGAGCCGCCCAGCTCCGGCCCGAGGCTCCGCGAGATGAGGAAGTAGGTGCCCCCTGAGTGGGGGAAGCACCCTGTGGTGTGAGTTGCCTCCTCCCCAATATTTTCAGGTGCCCCTGCCCTTGCAACCTGGCAAGCCAGGAGCTCACGTCCAAGGAACAGCCCCAGAGGCTGTGCCAGGGTGGGACACACTACCTGACTTCACTTTGCCGTTGGTGGATATGGCGGAGATGGAGAGGCCGGTGATGGTGGTCACCGTCACGGACATCAGGATGATGAGCCAGGTCAGGGCTGGGAGGAGATGGCACTGCTTTGTTCCTGTGTCCCCTCCGGCCCCCCAGACCCAGGAGGTCTGGGGGTCTTCCCCAGGTCTTCCCCAGGAGACCCCCTTACACATCACCCCATGCTCTGTGCTGCTGGTTTCCACCACCCCCCTAGGTGTTGTGGGAGATGATGAGCCCAGTGCTGTCATCCTGCTCATGGTGCACCCACCAATTCCTGCCTGGGCTGTGATCCAGGGCAAGCGCAGGTAGAGGATGACTCCCCAGATGTTCAGCATGCAGCGAATCTGGGGAGACAGAGAGGAGGGACCAGCCCTCAGTACACGGGCACCTGGGGCCACGACAAGTCTCCTGCTCCTCCGAGCAAAAACCAACCCACCTCCACAGGCAGGGGAATCGTTCAGAGGTACTTGTGAAAAACAGGTTTGGGGGAAAAAAGTGATGGTGAGGAGCAAATTCACCATGCCCCTGGCTCGGAGGGGGAGGAAGGGCAGGAGGATGCTCCCTGTGGGACCAGGCACACTCACCATGACACCCTTCACCCACCCGAAGCGGACGGGCTCGGGGGCTCTGCCCGGCTCCCCTGCTGCCTCCTCCGGCCCAGGCTCTGACACGCCGTTGCTCCTCTGTGCCTCGCACACCGGGACACGGAGGTGGCCTGGGTCGGGCTGTGGGGACAAGGGGAAGGCAGGTGAGGGTGGGCAGGTTGTAGGCAGGCAGCCCTCCCCGAGGCAGACAGCTGGGGGTAGATCTCTGGCTTCACCATCCTGGGTAGGTGCAGGTCAGCGTGGTATCAAGCAGATGTACCATGGATGTGGTGCAGAGCCCAGCACTGGTGGTGCAGCTGGGGATACCAGGGGTGGTGGCAGCACAACCCAGTCCCACCTTACCTTGAGGATGGAGTGGAGGTCAGCCAGCGAGGGCCTCCCTTTGCTGGCATCACCCACCCCCTTGGTGTTGGCATAGTGCTCGTAGGCGGGCACCACATCCACCGTGTTGTAGCCGAAGGTCCTGGTGCAGAGGGTGTTGCTGGAAAGGTGGGTGGGGTGGGCACTGTCACAGCCACCACCCTCAGCCGCGGTGTAGGGACCCCGGCCGCCCTCCTCCGTGCCCAGGAGGGTGCTGATGGTGAAGCGCCCGCTGCAGCGGGACAGGGCTGGGGGCAGCTCTGGGACAGGCAGCTCAGCCATCACCCCTGCTGGTGGCTCCTGCCAGGCCAGGGATGGGGCAGAGAGGGGCTCTCCAGCTTTATACCCAGCTAAACCGGAGCGAGGCAACCAGCACCCACCCACTGCCGTTGCTAACAGGGCGGGGGGAGGAAAAAGAATTGGCTCCAACCACCCCGAGCTGGTCAGGGGGAAAAAAATAGCTGGAAGGGATGTGAAACCCGCTGTAACGGGCAGCGCTGGGTCCCCGAGCCCGATGGGGGCAGCGATAAGGGATTTGAGATTAAGTCCCAAGGACAGATCAGCAGAGAAATGCAGTGCTGGGTTTGCCTCCGGGCCTGACCCTGGGAACATTCAGTTCCCACTGGGATTTGTTATGGAAAATGGCTGTAGACTCCCACACACGCTGGCCTTTCCCTGGGATACTGCACCAGAGCTGGCAGGTTCCATAAATCATCTCAGCTGGCCTCAGAGTTGCTGCCCGTGGCACTGAGCTGAGCTGGAGGGGAGGAGGGAAACAGCCCCTTTTTCTCACAGTGCAAACAAGGGAAAGGGAGACGTGTGACACTGAAGGGATGGGAGGGATGTCCTGCCTGTGATCTGATGCCAAGGGGCTGGAAGACAGGTGGAAAGGCTAGGGGACAGAGAGCAGGGGCAACCATGGTCCCTCTGCGATTGCCCAGGGCTGGGGCTGGCAGCTCCCTGGTGCTGGGTAGCAGAGATGCCCCCAGTCCCACAGCTCCTTCTCCAGCCCAGGGACAGGAAACCACCGAGTACCCCAGGTTCAAAACCCCCAAATCTCCCTGGTACAACAGCCACTTAAAACCCTTCCCCACAGCACACAAGACAGGAGCTGAGGCCAAGCTGCTGTTCACCCCACAGCCACCCACGGGTGAGGACAGGGGGAGGAACACAGGTGTCCTTTATACCCCTGCAGCCCAGGTCACATGTGCCTTAAAAGCAGTTACAGATAAGATCTGCGAAGACAGCAAAATAAGGCAGGCAATAAAATTTGAGGGCAGCCCATTTGAATTTCAGCCCTGTTGTGGCTTTGCAAGCAAATGGAAAATTGGGGCTGCCTGCCCCTGCTGCCTCTGGCTCTTTTCACATTCAGGGACACATTTCAACCTGCTTCTTTGAGGACTTGCTCCAGCCCCTTCCTGTTGTTTGTGTGTGGGCTGGGGTGGCTCCTGCTTCCCCAGGGAGCTGAGGACAGGCAGCCCTGCCTGCAGTGCCCACACGGCTCAGCCCTCCCAATGTCCCAACACAGGCTGACATTCCCCATGCCTGGGATGGGGAAAAAGCCCCGTGTGATACCTCCTGCAAGGTGGACACCACCTTCCTGCTCAGGAAACAACAGATGCAGCAGCAGCTTCACACTCAGCAGAAACAGCTTTTATTTCAGAACCTCATTCTTTCATCCAAAACACCCATTTGCCCAAACCAAATTACAGAGTCTCCCAAAAAAAAGCATGGAGGCAGGATGGGGAAGGGTCTCCACGAAAACACAGCCTGGTCCAAGATGCTCCAAGGAGAGACAAGAGGCCTCCAGCTGGCGGGTGAAGAGCGAAGTGAGTGGTATGATGCAACCCTGGTGTAGTGAAATAGCCGGATAGTCGGATGCGCTTCTCGTCGGCCTGATTCACAACACCAGCTGCAGCAACAATACCAGGGCTGTCCAGCGCTGGGCTGTGGGCAGGGACAGCTCTGGGGCACAGCCAGAGCTGCCACGTTCTCCTGCAGGGCCTTCCCTCCCTCCCAGCCCACCCCCTGCTCCACCACAACTGTTAAATCCATGAAATGAAGCCAAGCCGAGCGAGGCGGAGAAGGGCACGATGTGGAAGTTTGCCCCAAGTGCTGCATCCTGACTTGAAGGAGGTCTTAAAGTGTCCTGTTTCCATCCCTGTGGAAAAGGGGACCTACCACCTGTGGCCCCACAGGCCATGCTGGTGCAGGGGCTCTGCTGCTCGTTGTTGCATGGAGCAGGACTTGATCTCTCAGCACTGCAGGGAAGGACACCTGGGAAGAGAGAACAGAGGGTTATTCAGGCTACTGCCCCCAACTTTACCAGATGGGGTCAAAGGGATCATCTCCCAGACAAAATTTCAACCCCTCCCAACCTCAGACCCAGACAGAAACAGGACAAAAATACAGGGACCTTAAGACTGGCAGCATTTGAGCCCTGTCCCACCCCAGGGACACAGACCTGGAATTCCTAACATCCCCTTCTTTCCTCCAGGCTGCGAGGAAAACAGCTTCACTGAGAGGTTGGGGTTGATTGAGGTTGGGGAGACAAGTGTTGAGAGGGAAACAAAAACAAAAAGAGAATGGAATTCATTCTTTCTGAACATGATTCCTTCAGCTCCTGCAAGGAACAAGGTCCCAGTGCTGTCTCTGACCCATGGAGCAGTGGAAGGAGAACAAGGAATCACCTCATTTAGCATTTGTCTGGAAAAGAAAACAAAAAGTCAGGATGGAGCTGCAGAATCTGCAGTCAGTGAGGAAATGCAAGACAAGGAAGAGGAGGAACAATGTGCCTCCTGGGCTCTAGAGGCAGTGACTTGACTGGGTGACCAGCTGAGCCAAGCAGTGCAGGCAGAAATTGTTGGTGGTGGGATAAAAACCCCCAGAAACACCAACAAAATGGAGTGAGAAGACAGGAGCCACCGAGGCAGCTCCACAGCTGCTTAGGAGAAGCCCTCGAGGTGCATTTCAGCAGGTTTGTTAAAATCTGACACGAGCTGGTTGCCTTCTATTAGCTCTTTCTAGTCTTCACCAGAAGTTAACCCCTGGGCAGAGCTTCAACTTGTTTTTATCCCGACTGGAACAGGTACCACAGGGCAGAAATTCCCAAAGAGTATTTCTAGATTCCCCTGCATCTTCCCCCATAAATCCAGACCACATCAACTCAGACCTTGTTTGAAGCATCTCATTTACCTGGAGAACACTGCTGAGGATTAGTCCTGGACTAGGAAAAAGCAGTGGTCATTGGTTGCCTGAGCACAGGTGCAGACTCACCAGCCTCCATGAGGCAGCTGGATGCCAGGAGAGACTCTGCGACAGGGACCAAGTGCCAGCAGGAAAAACACAAGTTTATCCCTCAGGACTGGATGTGGGGCAGCCCTGGTCCTCCAGGACTTGCCTGCAAGTGTCACAGAACGTGCCTTCTTCTGCCACTACTAACCTGTTCTCTAGGGGAAGGGGAGAATTTTCAACTGAGAAGCATTCCCACATAAACGTGCTAAAAATGTTGGTAACTCAGAAAGGTTTCCACACTCACCTGGTGACATGTTGCTAGGCAATCCAATTCTGCCCTTCAAACAACTCTTCAGGAACTCACCAAAGCCCCTTTCCTTGCAGGGTGTTGTTGTCCAGGTCTCTCTCAGCCTTGTGAAGTGATTGTGAACCTGTGCTACCACCACTGGCTGCCAACACCACCCCAAGTGGTGGGAACCTCAGCAACCAGGTTGCCAGGACCACAAGACATGGGGCTGGGTGGCTTGGGAAGCCACCCCTCTGCTCCCAGCCCAAAAGGCTGACCAGGATGATGCTACAACATTTCTGGTGGATAAAGTCATTTGGAAATGGTCACCAAGTCAGTCAAATATCCCTCTGTGCCCTTAGACATTGCAAAGTGGAGAGTAATTCTCTCCCACATTACAAAGGTTGAGCTCAGCCTTTTTGTTTTGTTGCCTTGTCTGTGTCCAGAACCACAGGACACCAACAGTGTGAGGCCAGGAGAGCAGTGGTGCAGCAGGATCTGTGTGCACAGGGAGGAACAAGAGGAACCACCAGCACTCCTTCCATTTCCTTTCAGGGACAGGCAGCTATAGCAAAGAGAAAAGCTCACAGGGTAACGTGCTCCCTGGGCTTTCACCCCCAGTTAATTGTAGCTCAGAGCATTTAAAGCCAATTGGTTTTAATGCCCCTCAGCTTTCCCATCAACCCACAGTAATATCCACCCACACTTGGACTTCCTTGCTTCTGCTGGTGAACTCATTATGGGACCATCTGAAACCCAACCCACGTCACCCCAAAACTGATCTCTCCTCCCCTAATATCCCTGGTTTCCAATCCCAGCTGCTTCTGCAAAAGCTTCAGCAGAGCTCCAGGGTTTGCAGGGTCGTGTTCAGCTGAGAAACCCACCCAAGAGGCTGAACCTGAAGCATAAATGAACCTCTGCAGCACCAAGAGCTCATCTGCACCACACAAAACACCACACGGGACAACACGAGGGGCTGACAGCCCTGTCACATCTGGGATGCACCACAAACAGGTCTTCAACATCTAACATGAGGTCAAAAAAACCCCAAACCCCAACATTTTCCATGCTGTCTGTCCAGCAAGCATCAAAGTTCTCTTTTCTGCTCTAAAATTGCACATTGGAACCTGATCTTTAAGGTCCCTTCCAACCTGAACCATTCTATAATGATTCTATGGCCCTTTAGCTAATGAAGAAGAATCTTCTAACTCGAAACTGATTGAAAACAGATAAAAACAGAAAACTCACAAAAAAACCCCAGTGAAAAAGAAAATGTCAAAAAAACAAATAAGAAATCAAAGACATTTATTTCCATCAACCAAAAAAAAAAACAACAACAAACCCAACAAAACCACAAGCATACAGAATACAAAATGATACTGGTCCCACCCTCTGAGCTGCAAGAAGCTCCTCTGCTAGTTCATCAGGACCTCCATCTGCACCAGCCTGGCGTTGGTGTCTCCTGATGTTCTGTAAGGGATCATTCCAGCAAACGTGATCAGGGCTCGAGCCTGAGACCGGAGTTGCTAAAACACAGAAGAACAAAGGGGCAGTTAACTGCAGGATCCCACCCCCCCCAGCCATGAAAGTGGAGTCAGACACACCAGGGGGAACACCTTTTCAAACCAAGCTTTTTGTTCCTCTGAGCTGATCTCTGGAGAATCTATCTCTGCATTTGGGAGCAAACCCAACGATTTTCTTTGCCAGCCATTACAAGCCTTTCAAGTTACCCTTTTTCTTACAACCCAGGATCCCATTTATC